AATGCCGCTGGCACTGCCTCCCTGCAGTGTTGGCACTGGGGGAGTTGAGTCCTGTCATCAGGTCACTGTAGAAACAGCAGTGAGGGATGAGTCTCAGCAGGGACAACCTGGACAGGGAACACAGAGGATTACAGCCAGAAGGAAAAAAAACCCTACAATTGGAAGGAAAATAAAATTGTGCTTTGAAAAGAAGAATAAATTGGCACCTCTGGAATAGTGATGGGTGAATCTAAATGAGTTTGGTGTGTGTTAGCACCCCCAAAGTCCTCTGCACAGTGTCTGGGGGGCTCAGCCCACTGTCAGCTGCTGAGCAATGTGGGATGAGGATGAAAACATGGGGAAATCTACAGGCAGGAGAATGAATCTGTGCCAAGTCTTGTGACAAGGTGGCAACATCAGGGCAAGAGGGCTGCAGGCTGTTTTGACAAGCTGGATTATGAGTGTGTACTGGTCTCATCCTCTCTGCATCCCTCTGCACACCTCAGAAACCTCCTTGGTTTCTTCTAGCAATCCTGTCTCTCCCCTCTTGCGACGTCAAGGCATGAGACAGATACGTGTGACCTCACTACAAAAACTTCCACTGGCTCCTTCCACTCCTGTTAATTATTCACCTAACCCTGTTACAAGCCCTTGGTACTAGGCCAGCACTCGTGGCACTCTCTTTACATGAAGAACATGTCCCAACTGCTCCTGCAGTGAGCACGTCGGCTCCTGCTGCCGTGATCAGGGGTTTGAGGCATCACCACCAACCTGAGTCATTGCCACACCTGGCTGCAGTGAGAAATGGCCAAGGAGTCTGTGGTACCAACCTAACCCACCTCAGCACTTTAAACCAACCAGTTATTTTGTAGAGTTTTATCCCATTTTAGGTATTTAACACAGAGGGAAGCCCGACATGGAGAACAATGTGGGCTTGAGCTTTTTGAGTAGTACTCGTGGAATTTGAAACATTATCTTCTGTGTGCTAAATATGTGAGTCATCCTGGGAGAGCACTGCATCTACATTTAGATCACCATGTTAGATTACCATCCAGATTTAGCTCCCATGTGGTCTCCTCAGCCACAGCTTACGAGGAAAGAGTAATTTTTAAGCCATCAGGAAGAAGCTCGTGCTGCTGACTCTTCCTCTTCTCTCCAGGCTTTGTAAACTTCAGTGGAAACCAAAAGGGGTTTTTTATCCTCTTAACTTTAATTAGCTGAAAAGATGAAATAATTTATAACCAACCCAAGGGTGGTTTGGGAGCGCTCATTGTGGTCTGGGTGCCAGGCAGTGGGAGGTGGGGAGAGCTGGGGTTGGCACCATGCAGTGCTCATCCTACGCTTTTCCAGCAAGGGCCATTTCCTGGAAGCTGAGCAGTACTCACGTGCTAAGCTGCTGCTGTTTTAAAGGTCAATATGTACAAGAAAGATCCACTGCAGCCACTATATCTGTGAGCCCACGTGAGGAGAAACCTCCCTGCGTAGAAATTCCAACTATTTCAGCAATGAGGGGACTCAGGCAGGGAGGACACCTGGGGAGAGGCTCAAAACCCCCTTGGCAGAGCTTGATAGCAACACGTGGGTGCTCAGGATGTGCTCTGGCAGAGCAAGTCACGCTGGTGGCACTGAGCCAGGGAGCTGCCAGTGGCACAGGGCATCACCTGTCCTCCCCAGTCCCTCAGTGCTGTGCTGGTTGGTGCCAGGGAACCCTGACAGTGCAAAGGTGTCTGACACAGACTGAGCCATCCACAGTTATTTAACCACCTTCTGTTCTGGCAGGCTAAGGTCTGTGGTCCCCACAGCAGCCTGGCATGGCACATGGTGCCAGACACACATTGTCCCTCCTCTGAGGGTGGCTCAGACATGGTTGTACCATGCTCAATGTTGGAAGGGCCATGGGGGCTCAAAAAGGCATCACTTCTCAGGGGGATGGGGAGGAACCAGAGGCTCTCCTCACTCTTCCACACCTACCCAGTGTGTTTGACCCCTTGGAGTCAGTGGGATATAAACTCTGGCAAACCTCTGGGTGAGAGCAGGTCTGTCAAAGCATCCACTGCTTCCCCTCTGTGTGAGGGGACAAAGGGTCTGTGCAGACTGGTGTTTGGGTGGGACAGAGCACTCATGATGTTAAGTAACCTCCTCCCCACAAAAAAACCCCAATACCCCTCCTCTGTGCCAGCATCCAGCAGAAAAGTGATATCCTGGGCTCTTCTCCAGGCCAGGGCAGCCCAGCTGGAGGAGAGGTGCTGGAAGCAGCAGGATCACTGCTCAGGCTGAATTTATCAGCCACTGGGCTCTGGCATCTCTCAGTATGTTGGCATGGAGAGATGGGCACAGGACAGGGCACAGCTGGGCCACAGCCACTCTGCTTCCACCTCTGCCAGTGCCTGGTTGGACCTGGACTCCTACAGAACCTCCTGCCATGAAACACTGCCAGAGCAGCCACAGCTCAGCCAGGAGCCCAGGGACCAGACGTGGCTCCTTGGCACTCACTGCACAGCTCTGGAAGCCTCCAGCCCACGCTCCAGGTTTTCCCTTGCTGGTGTGAAGGGATAGCAAGCTCCAAGGACAACATGAGGTGTCTCAGGACCCTGAGCTCAGCCACCATAGCCCACAGGCACTTCCACCTCAGCCCTGAGATCTTTTATCACACCAATACACAGAAAAGGCACCTCTTTCTCTGGAAAAGTCACCCAACTAAACCAGCATCTGAGATAACCATATCAGCTGCTTGCCAACAATATTCCCATTTTCCATCCCCCCAAACTCCCATGGTAAGCACATATTGGAAGAAACCAGTGAACAAAGAAGGGGAGACAGTTACTCCACTAACACCCTCCCACTCCTGTTCCCATTCAGACCAAGGACACCAAATCCTTCATGCTGAGTCAGGACTAACTGCAATGCAGCATGATGGGAATCCCTCAAGGAGCTGCAGCCAACACTGGAGGCTCCATCTGCTCCAGCCTTCAACCCACCAGTGCTGAGTGTTCTGCCTTGCACTCTGCCTTGGAGCAAAGTGCTGCAGCTGTGCTTCAACTCTCATAGTGCTCTGATGGAAACCCTTCTCATCTCCTGCCTCAGCTGCTCTCCAACCATGACATCAGCACTTCACTCCTGCCAGGGCACTTGGAGTAAGTGACATTCAGGGACCGTGCTGCATCCCACTGGGATAAGGCAGCTTGGGGGAGGATCAGATCAGATGTGGTGATAACTGAGCATTGGGAAGGGAAGTTCTGGTCCTCTGTGAAGCTCCTTGGCAGGATTTTAAGGCCAGGCTTGACAAAGCTTTGAGGGGATTGCCAGGACTGAGGGGATTGCCAGGACCAGCAGTGGCTCAATGCAGAGATGTGAGTGAGGGGTTCCCTCTGCTGCTTTTTAGCCATTTGCTTCTCTTTGTCCCTGGCTGAACTGACCCAGGGCAACATCAGGATCACTGAGCTGCTTCAACCTCAGAGTCCAAAACTGGAGCGAGATTGTTCAAACCTGCAATCCCCAGTTCAAGCCTGTGAGTGCAAACAGACATCCTGAGCCTCTGGAGCTCTGGAGCAGTGAAGAGGCAAGCACAGCCCCCCAGGATCATCAGCGTTCATCCAGCCCACCATAGATAAACTTGTTAGTGCAGTGGGAAGAGCTCAGGGTGTGTCTGAGGGCAGCGGGGGGGAGGTTAAAATCCCCTCCTGTCCTCAGTTATGTCAGCTTCCTCGCACAGGACAAGTGCAGGGACACTTCCATATTGCACATGCTTCAGAGGGCTTTAAACAGCTCTGAGCTTGGGGGAAATACTCCTCTTTTGAGCCACAAACTATTCCTGGCAACTGCTCGGCTAAAAAAAGAGCTATAAAATGTCAAACTCATCAAAGCAGATGTAGCTCTGCGTCATCTTTGTTACAGGCTGGAAAATGCCCCAGGGGGTCACTCTTATTGGCTTCCTGAAGGAACACCTGCTTTAAAAAACCCTCCTGCAGTTAGCACAAGTGCTCCAAGACCAGCTTGTGGCTGACTGAGCACTTCTTCGCTTGCTGCAGCATCCAGTCAGGTCTGGGGACAGACCTGGGGCTCAGGGGGGTACGGTTGGGTTGACCCAAGAGACATGAGGTTCATCCTGGCCACAAATCCCAACACAGACAGTCTGTATCCTGCTGGCACTCGGCCTTGACATGGCTCATGGAGGCTGGAATCAGTGGGCTGTGGAACTATGTGGGTTGCTGGTGGTGTTGGATGACAGAATTACACAAGGGTTTGGGTTGGAACAGACCTTAAAGCTCATCTCATTCCAACCCCCTGCCATGGCCAAGGATGATGCCATGGGGAGAAGCATGTGCCAAAAGCGGGTAAGGGTAAACAAGGTCAGATATGACAGTCTGGGACTCCCAACACCACGTTTCTCCTCCAGATGAGACTAGGAAAGGACTCTGATGCCAGAGAATCAATCATATGATAAAATAGCTTCTTTGGTTTCTTTGTTTAGAAAACATCTTTCACACATGGTATAAAAACAGGTAGTTAAGGACAAATTTCAAGCCAGCTGAGCCAGTGACTTCCTCCTGCCATCCTGTCCTCAGCCATCAGCTCATCAAACAAACACAAGTGGATCCTCTGTGGGAAACACCGTTAAATAACCAAAACCCCCAACAAACACAAACTTGCACAGTTAAAAGCAAAGCCAGACAGTTTTCTATATGGGGGAGCTGGGATCTTCCACAGAAAAAATGACCCTGGATGCAGGTTTTTATCTAATATTGACCCTTGCTGAGGGCTGGAAAATCAGTGACCAATACTGGTAAGCTCCCAGGAGCTAACCTGGCCACTGGCATAGTGACACTGCTGGTCACACATCCCATCTCATCCTATCCCATCCCATCGGCAGTGACACAGCTGCCATGGCATGCTGTCACTCCAACCCATCACTCATCTCTCACACTGCTTTTCAAGTGATGTTTGGAAAGATGAATAAATTAACGAAGCCACAGAAGAAAAAAGTCAAACCAAAAAGCACCCCAAAAGTCCAGTTCATGCTCTCAGGGCAGGAGGAAGCGCTTGCGGACCTTCTCCTCGATGGAGTGGAGCTTGGCAACTCGCAGTGCCTCCAGCAGCTTCTTGGTGACCTCGTGATGCTTCTCTTTCTTGTGAGTGAGGAAAGTCCTGACTTTCTCCTGGATGGCTGCCTTGGTCCTCAGTGTCTTCTTTGGTGAGCGCTCCAGGATTTGCTGCAGGCGCTTCAGCTTCTTCATGGGGATGTTCTGGTACACCACAAAGTCTATCATGGCTTGTTGACAATCCTCATCTTCTACAGCTGGTGGGAGAAAACAGCCTGGAGGTTAGAGGGAAGGTGAGTGTGGGACACAGAAGAGCAGGGCACAGCCCTGCCAAGCCTCTCCATGGGACATCTGCCCCATTCCTGGAAGTGTTCAAGGCCAGGTTGGATGGGGCTTGGAGCAACCTGGTCCAGTGGAAAGTTGAACTTCCCAGCAGTGACCCATCCTATACTGGGCAGTTAGAAAACAATGTGTAAAAGTTCCTGTAATTCTGAAAAAAAGTAAATATACCTATTCCATCAGGGAGTAGAGGAAGAGGGAAAGTCCAGAATAATCTGAAGTAATTGCAGTAAATATTTACACATTATTTTTCCTGAAAGTTTCTGTTTTCCCCACAGATTTATACATCTTGGGACAGGACCGGCCCCAAGCACAGCCCCAACCAGAGCACTGGGACTGATCTGGCCCCACTTGGTGGAAGCTGCTGGAGTGCATCAGCATAAGGAATGAGATCAGAAAGAATTTTCAAGAGAGTCAGAAGATTACCCAACCAGGGAGAGACTAGCCCAGTTTCATGCCATTGCCACTGGGAATGGCTTCACTGGTTACAGTGGGGTGGGTTGGGCTCCACTGCTCAGGCTCTCCCTCTCTGACAGACTCGGGTTGTGGATGAGCAGATCTCCATGTGATTCTTGAGCATAATCATGATGAGCTGAGTTAAAAATACCCTTCAGCTCCATCGCTGGGGCCTCATCTCCTCTAGAAATAGCTATGTAGAGGCTGCTCTGGCTGCAGGGCCATTGTCTAATGAATGGCAGTGCATGTGCTGCTGCCACCTCTCTCACCTGACCCTCCACCCCTGGGACCACATCCTGCTGATGACAGAGCTTTCTTGCCATCTCTCTGGAGTGGGATCACAGTACTGGCAGGGAACTTGTGGTGTGAGTCAGGCAGTGCCAGGAGAGGATGGAAAGGTGCCGCATGGCAACAGCCTCCTCACTCCCTCACCACAGAGGAGAAGCTTCTATAACCATGGAATGTCCTGAGTTGGAAGGGACCCACAAGAATCATTGAGTCCAACTCCTGGTCTGGCACAGACAACCCCAAAATTCCCCCATGTGCCTGAGAACGTTGTCCAAATCTGACATGATTGGTGCCATGACTATTTCCCTGGGGAGCCTGTTGCAGTGCCTAACCACCCTCTGGGTGAGTTTTATTGAAGCTCCATCCTGATGGAAGAATGACATTTTTTTCATACTGGAACTACCTTCTCTGGATGTTGAGACATCCTCATTGCTGGAGGTTTTCAGGACGTGGCAATGGATAATCTGATCCAGGCTCCCTTTCAGAAGAAAGGTTGGACCAGATGAACATTCAAAGTCCCTTCCAGCCTGGACTGTTCTATGGCTCTATGACTGATTACATTTTTTTGAAATTCAAGGGTGCAGGGTCACAGCCACCTAGACCAGTCACATGGAGTTTGTCTCTCATGTATCTTCTCTGGATGCTCAGGGTGGAGCAGGTGGTTTCAAACTGCTGTTGGCCTCAGCTCAATCAGCAATGGGCCTGTGAGATGGTTTTTCAGTCCCTTTCTCACCTCCTAGCTTGGGGAGTATGTTACAAAGCACCCCTGGAACCAGCACTTTGCTCCATCCTGCACCTTTGCCCTGTTCTTTTGCCGAGAAAGATTGGACCAGATGGTCCTTGAGGTTCCTTCCAACCTGGAATTCTCTGATCTGTGCCTGCTGGTGACTCTTGCCCAACGTTCCACTTCCTCAGAATCTCAGCACTACATCTGCACCTTCACAGTGACATGGTTGACACCACGTCTCTACGTTTTCACCTGACAGGTCAAAATCCACCCTACTCAGCTCAGCTCTGATCAACGTTGGACTGTGCTCCATTCAGTCTGCACAGTACCAGGCTGCAGCTGCAATTAAAGCTTCCAGTAAACAGGCTGAAGCCTGGGAGAAGGGAGCACTGGAGCCGTGCCAGGAGCCAAGCTGAGTGCCTCAGCCCTTCACACTGTGACTGTTTGCATGGCCATCAGTTATCAGCTACAGCCAGATGTCTACCAAAACTGTCCTCCTGCCCCAGCATTGCCAGGTGTCCCTGGAAAGATCCAGCAGGATTTCAATGCCAGCGCTTTGCTCCTGCTGAGCAGTGGCCATGGTTAAACCCAGCACTCTGCCCTTGCCCTACAGGGCCAACCCTAAGGGGGAGGAGGAAAGAGAGATTGGTTTATCTATAATTACTATTGATTATGGATCACTCCATGCTTTTACAGGCTATTTCACCAAAAGTTCACTCTCACCCAGGCAGCATTCGGATCCTGGCACCCTCCCTGTGCCTGCAGAGCTGCAGCTCACCTGGTTCTTGTGTGCTGTTTCCTCTCCCCACTCTGCAGGAGGTGCAGAGGGTGTCGTGGTACTGGTTACCCTGCACATTGGTCACCTTCCCCTGCTGCTCGCAGTCCTGGTGTGGCTGGCATGGGTCTTTGCTGGAGCTGGGGGAGAAGAAGCCATGGGGGCAGTCTTGGCATTGGGTGTCCTCAAAGGGGGTACCTGCATACAGAGAAGCAAAGGAACCATCAGGTGACAAACTGGCACAGGAGCAGGGGCAGGAGCTGGGAATTATGTCAGGCACCATTTGAGCATGAGGGTGATATTCTGGAAATGATGGGAATTAATGTGTCCACGTGTAGGGGCAAACAGCAGTGCTTTTCCCCAGCCTTCTCCCAAGCCCGTGTTGATAAATTGCCATCAGCCCCAGACACAAGAGAACATCTCATGTGCTGTGAGAAGGGACACGTCTCGGGCAGGAGGCAGCAGGGTGAGCTGCCAAACCAGCCCTTCAGTTCCCGGCGGAGCCAGAGGCTCCCGGCCAAGTGAAAGTAAAAGTAAGGAATTGAAAGCTCTGCTGGCCTCGGCAGCTCTGGCACTTCCCACCGCGCCTCCTGCCGAGCTGTCTGCCACGCGGGTAGGATTGCGCCAGGTCCCCTGGGAGCCGAGGGAAGGGCCCCGACAGCAGCAGATTTCACACCCCTTTCACCTCCTCTTCACAGATCTAGTTACAACACAGTTTCTACCTTGTGGCACCCTCTTCACGCTGTTGCTTTGGCTTTCCCAGGAGAAGTCTGGTCTTTAAGATCCTTCCCAACACAAACCATTCTATGAGTCCAAGTCCCAGCCAGCCCAGCTATAACCCCAGCACCTGAGCCACTGTTTGCAGATGGGAAATCCAAAGGAAAGCAGTGTTCCCAGAGGGACTGCACACGGATCAAAGTCCTCATCCAACCCAGACACCCCTGAGCTCTGCCCACAGCCCCCATTCCACACTGACACCAGGGCTCTGTCCACCCATGCTGGATGCTCAGACCTTGCTGTGGAGTTCAGGTGGCTGTGCTGGGGTTCAATCCTCAAGGACCCATTTGTAACAGAAACCAATAATAAAAAAAAAAATTCTCCTGAAGTGCCCAGTTTGCTCACATGGCTGCTCAGTCCTACTGCCAACCCTCCAGGTAAAATTCATGTTTAATTTCAAAGAGCTTCTCTGTATTTCTTTGGAGATCTACTTCCCCTTTCATTGTGTTCCTGCGTTTTGTCATGTCCTATAGAAAATTATACCCCAAACCACATGCATCAGCTGAAGGCAACAGGTATTTCTCCTCTGGCTGCCAAGCCTGGAGCTCTTCTGTGCCACAGATGGAAGGACTTCAAAAACCTCCACATTTCAAAAGCCTCCACACTTCAAAGCATGAAGCAGGATACTGCTGGGTTTGCTGGTGTTGTCTATGCTGGTTTGTTGTACCCAGCTGTGGTTTCCAGGCAGAGCCTGGTGTTTCAGGAGGGAGTGAGAAGAAGGGCAGAGAGGGAAACCTGCTCATAGGCAACTTGTATTTTCAGAAAGTTTGCACACATACACACGAGTAACTAAGGGACCAGGAAAATCTGTACTGGGGAAACAACAGGCAAATAAATCCCCTAAATCTCTTGGAACTTACATCTTGTCAGGGGATGAAGTCTCAGACTCTTCAATCAAAACAAGGCTGATTTTATGGGTTTGGAACCTGACCACATATCCATTGCATGTTTTCAACAGAGCCTCTCCAGGTTGCTCAATAAAACAACACAAAACCCAGCCCCAGGGCCACATGCATCCGCCAGCCCTGCCCTTGCATCATCAGACACCTTTTTTAGGTCAGATAATCAGCATTCCCAGCTCCTGCACTAACAGAAGCAAGGAGAAGGGAGCTGATGGAGGAGCAGGAACAGCCTGGACTTTCCCACCTGCCCAGAGCCATGCAGGACCAGCAGCTGCTTCGGGGATGGGCGAGTCACTGCCTGTTGTGGCAGGTGAGGCAGTTTAACCAGGACTGCCACATCCCATCTAAGTGTGATACTGGGGATTTCAAAGGCTTTCAAAGTGAAAGCTGGGGAAAAACCCAACTAAACTGCTCCTTGGAAAAGGAGCATGCCTGCAAGGATGGCACAGCTCCAGCGAGCAAAAAGAGAGTATGCTATGGGCAAGCATTGGCTGCTGAATTTCTCCTTGATTCTTAGCTCCAGTGGATATTTTGGGATGTTACAAGAGCTTTGTGAATACACACACCACTGCCTGGCTGGGTACTTACCTGGTTTCTCCATGCCAGAGCCTGCTGGACACTCAGAGTGCTTGATGCAGAACTCCATGTCCGAGTAGTATCCCTCCTGGCACTGACAGACGCGGTTGTGTGTGGAATTGCACTGCTGCACCTCCACCTGCTTCTCCCCACAGATGACATTACAGTACCGGCACTTCTCCAGGTAGTTCCAGTACTGCGTGTAATGCAGATCTGGGCAGGGGTCACACACTGTCTGCTCCTCCCTGGTGCAGTGCTGTTTCACGAAGGTCCCCGGTGGGCACTGCTTGCAGACGAGCCTCTCACTGGTCACAGCGTCCTTCCATTGGTATGTGGGGTGTGCGTCGCAGCCGAGCTCAGCCAGGAAAAGGAGGAGAGGAGGAAACATCCACTACAGCAAAGACAGCGCAAAGAGCCCTGAGGTCATCCTCTGGCAGAGGCGGGAGCAGCAAACGCTGCTGCTGCTATTACAGGACTTGTTATTGGTGTAGATGCATCCCTCCCCATGCTGCCCCAGTCCCAAGGGCAAAGTATCGGTGGGGGACCAGCTGCTGCCCCCCCATGCCTCCTCATTGCCCTCCCTTGCCATCCCAGGAGACAGACCATCCTTCCCAAACCCATTTGTGATGCCTTCACAACCCCATTTTCCTATTTCAAAACTAGAAGCAGCTCCAGCACATTCTCCTTTCTTCAGTTCCCCACTGTTTGGGGTAAGAGAGACATTCACAATCAAGCAGCAGAAGGGAAGATTTCCAAACTAGCAAACACACAGCATGATCCACAGGAACTTTCTTTTGTAAACCTGGATACTCAGGATAGGACTGGAGAATCCCACAACTTGTTTATCCTTCCCTTCCCTGTCATACCTCATGTGCACAACCCGATGAGCAGACAGTACATTACCTTGGATGGATGCCTCAAACTCGGCATGTGGCTGGATGGCATCACACCGAGAGCTTCCAAGCGCCGGGATCAGAAACCTGGGGAAACAGAGAGGGATCCTCAGAGGCTGGTGCCGGCTGGGCTGAAGCTCCTCTTTGCATCAGCGGGGCCAATGCAGCCCGCCAGCGTCAGGACAGAGAGAGGGCGATAAGGAAGGGCTGACAGGGAAGGGCTGCTGGGAAGGACTGGGGTTCCTCGCCTGCTTTCCAAACAGCCCTTCCTCCGGGGGAGATGCCGGCTGTCCCCAGCCCAGGGACTGAGCAAAGCCTTATAACGGAGCAGAGACCGCACTCCGACACGCGTAACCGCCCGAGGGGGTGGGAGGG